TTCTAGGTTGGAGGCCATTGCTATTAGGTTGGAGGCCATCACTTCTAAGTTGGAGGCCATTGCCATTTTTTGAAAAATACATATATATATATACATATTGCTAATGGGAAAAAACATATTGCCTGAGGTTTCACGGTGTTTGCCCCGGCCACGGCCCCACTGACCACTCTCAGGAGCCCGAGCTGCGAGACCTCGACAGTGGCTCGGTGTAACGCCGGAACTCTGCTGGAACTCGGACTTGGGTGGACTTGGGGGGCGGAATTTCAGTTTTTGCAGTTCTTTGATTTTTGCTTAAGAGATGAGGTGCACGTAGGTGCACGTTGTCAAGGACTTGGCATCCCCAAATTGTATCCCAAAATCGTTCATTTTTGGTTTAGCCGTTTTACCATTTGCTTACGGAAGAAATGAAGAAAGGTCCGGAGTCTGCTTCATCGTTCGTCGCTATGTGTTGGAAAATGCAGACATTCAGTTGGTTGTGCAAACCATCGGATGGACAGGCACGGCCGGCTAGGTTTTCTTGTCAAGAGCCGTAGATGACACCATAATCAGAGTGGGTGAACTTGTCCATGGATTACCATGGAAGACATGGAACATCTTGGTCGAAGAACGAAATCTGCGACGACTTCGGACGGTTCTTCCAAGGTGATGTCCCGACTGCCGCTCCAGCAGCATCCTTGGGAGCTCTTTTTCCGGGATGCACTGCTTGAGCACTGCCCAAACACTGCCCAAAGATTTTATGCCAATCCATTCATTCTACCCCCAGAATTTAACAGGTACCACTTTATACTATTTATTTGTGAACTGAGACGAGTATGTTGTATAAGTACTAGTACCAGACCGAAGATGTGCGCAGAATTTCGGACTCGTTGATCGAGGTCGAGGACCTGGATCCTTCCAGCCCGTTCTTGCCGCGCCTCGGTTTCAAGAACCGTGGCTCGTACATTGCCGCCCCACATCGGAGGTCATTCACTTGTCGATGACAAGTCGGAAATGGGATCAAGCATCACTTGGATTCAGCATCACTGCATCACTTTTCAGTTTCGGTCCGAATTTGGCCCGCCGAAGGGGATGCTAATCATCGCGTTCATCGCGTCAGTGAGGCTACGAGTTGCACTCAGCGTCTCCTGTGCTGGGCGCCTAGAGATGATAGGTCTCGAATTGTCTCAAGGGTTTCCAAGGAAAAAACTCGGAGTTATGCTGATCCATATGCTGAGTCAAACTAAACCAAAATCCTGCGAACTGTGAGCAAACCTCGGATTTTGCACGCATTAGTGGTTTGACCCTTATCCCTTACTCTTCAAGTTTGATCCAAACGTCATCATTGTTGCAGGTTCTGTAGGTAGCAATTCGAATTACCGATCAGCGGGTTTTGCAACTTGTCAGGGTCCTGCTTTTCGTAGGATGGAGGCCATCGCTACTAGTAACAAGAAGCTACTAGGGTGGAGGCCATCGCTATTAGGGTGGAGGCCATTCCTATTAGGTTCCTTTTGTTATTAGGTTAGAGGCCATCGCTGTGGTTGCATAGCTTCTGATCGCGATATCCAGGTGGTGGCTCGAGGTGCTCTGAATGGGAGCGTGCTGAAAAAGTTGGATGTCTGAGCCCTGACACGCACCAGAGTGGTTTCCAGAGAGCATCTTGCTTCATGCGATGGCCTCCAACCAGAGGGCATCTTGTGGTTCATGTTCTTTCCAGCTCATCACTGCGGGCCGCGAGCCCTTTTGAAGCAGTCATTTGGGACAAACGGCGACCCTCGAACACGTTTCCGCCGTTCAGCGCTCCACGTACAGAAGATGGCTAGCGGCTAGAATCAACACCCACTCAGCTTGGGTTTCCCCGCACCCAAGAGGACGAAGCAGCAAGCCTGCATGCTTGAACTCTGGGCCCGGGCCGGAGTTTGTTTGCTTTGACCCGGTGAGGCACTGACCAAAGGATTGATCGATGTGACGGCGATTGTCTTGTGCACCGTGATCCAGGTGTTGGCTTGGATCCCCAGACCTTGAAGATAAAAGGGGGGACTCGTCACACTGCAGTGTTGCTCTTGTTTTCAGTGACGGGTGCTGAGAATTTCAGGTTGCATGCCAAGTTGCCTGATTTGATTCCACCTAGGCCCAGGGAAGACAGACAGACGTCACCGCCATGGGTCTTCAGATGATGATGTTGTTGCCTGGCTGAGACTAGGTGGGTTGAATCCCACCAGCTCCTGACTGCCATGTTCCTTCCAAATCCAATGCGCTTTTGGCGCCAATACTTAGGCAATCGATCGGCAATCGATCTTTTTCCGGGCTGTCAAAAGAAAAGGAAGGCCAATATAAAGACAAGCCCTCACAAGAAATGTCTCAGCTGTCTATCTTTGAGCGACAGTTGATTGGACCTACACCAGCTGCTCAAGAATCCTGGCGAAGAAGGATAAATATGACGCCCATGGCCATAGGTTGCGAGTCAACAGATGTGCAAAAGCATTTGAGGACTTCTGTTTTCACGATGTTTCATATGCGGTTGCACTTCTAGCCATCTTGGCTGTGCCAATGTCTTCATCCAACAATCTCTCAGGCTCTCAGTGCTCGGCTTCGTCTCCGTGGGAAGCTCACATGACCTCAGACTGCTTTTCTTCACTCTTTGTCTGCCACCACCGTGAAACATTACCGTTTCTTTTCGTGACCGCCGAAAGGTTTTGACTGGCACAAGTTTTGAGCGAATCACGGTGCAGATTCCAGGCCCGGCAAGTGGCGCCTCCCATCGGCCTGAAGCTGAGGAGTTTGCAAGTGATGATAGAAAATAGGTTCATGCAGGAAAGATGCTGAAAAGGGTTCATGTGATTCATGTGTGCAATTCTTTGCAAAAGGGCTCTTCTGAAAACATTTGTCGCTGCAGATAAATAGACTTGGCCACGACAAAGCAGAACTACCCTGCAGCACAACCTGAAAGAAGCGGAAGAGCGACAAATCAGCCTTAAGGCTTCTTTGTTACTAGTAGCGATGCCCTTTGTTCCTAGTAGCTTCTTGTTCCTAGTAGTAAGGCCAGGAGCCCCTAGTAGCGTCCTTGCTCCTAGTAGCGATGCCCTTGCCTTAATGAAATGATTGACTTGGAAACGAGACTCAGAGACTGTGTTGCCAAGTCGATGAGCCGCCCTTGCTGCCTTTGCGGCAGAAGTCTCCCAGGGTGTGGCCTTGGGAGGAAGAAAGGCGGGCGATGGCCAGGGCGTGGGGAATTGATACTCGTTAGTGGAAGCGAGTTAACTCAGGGTGAGATTCAGTGTTTTGGAAGCACAAGCACTGCAAGCAATCAGAAGTCTAAGAAAAAGAGGTGAACAAATAGAGGCAACGGCCCTTTAAACTCTTTGAACTCTTTTCCATCCTTTTCTCAAGACCCTTTCTGTAGTACATGGTGGAAGCCTCTTGTTTCTAAAGAGACCTATTGTTGGTCTGGTGGTGCTGCTTATTCCCAAAGATCAGCCTTGTAACTGCTAGCTGCAGCTTGAACAGATGTGCAGCCCAGCCATTCTCCGCTCAGGCCAATTCCAAAAGCCTTGTGATTGATGGACTCGCGTCTCCATACTTTTGTTGTCTCAAGACAACTCTTCATAGCTGAAAGAGCACCCAAAATGGAGACCTTTGCCATTCAAGGCCAACAAGCCCTCTGGCTGCAAATTCCATGGTGCTTCTGCAGAATACATCTCCTGAGAGAAAATGTGGAGCTTCAGGTGATTTGATGTGCTTTCCCATTCGCCTTCACCGTGCTTTACCCCCAAATGGCCTCATCGTTTGGTCCGTACCTTTCCTAACCCAGGCGCAACTTGGATTTGAGGTGTTCTTTCCTTCTTGTTGAATACCATTCAGAGACTCATTGAGTCTTGCCGGAATGTATATCAGTCTGGATTTGTGCTGCACTTTTGCTCAGCTCAAGAGGTTTCACCTAGCGCAAGTCTTAGCCAAGAAAACTGCCTGAAGAGTTCTGTCACAGGTAACTAGGGACCAAGAGGGATGTAAAATGAGCACTGGACTTTGTATTGGACTTTGTGAACTTCCTTTATCGTAGATTCTCTGAGAACCTCCAAGAGAGGAACTCAAGCGACGACAGGAACGACAGTGACGACAGGAACTGGTGGAGGGTAGGAGTCGGTCGGAGTCGGTAGGACGTGGGGACTTCCAATCTCGGCGCGTCGGACGCCGACGGGCGGATTTCAGTGACACCATGGCGTAGATGGCTGCGACTTGGCTACAAAGGGCATCGCCACGAACGGAGCAATGACGCTACTAGTAGCTCCTGGCATTGCTACTAGTAGCAAGAAGCTAGTAGTAGCAAGGACACTATTCGGTGGAGGCCGCAAGTAGGTTGGAGGCCATCGCCACTAGTAACAAGAAGCTACCAGTAGCTATTTGCTAGTAGTAAGGGCCAGGAGCTACCTGATCTCAGCAGGTCAGACAGATTGATGGTCTTCTTTTCATTGCGTCGGCTGTGTGGTCCCCGTTTTTCCTCAGACGCCGTTCGCTTCCGGGACGATGCTGCCGGTCGTCCTTTAAAATAATATATATAGTCATATAGTGATCGTTTCCAATACATTTTCTGTCCATTTGGGGGATCCTAGTAATTACAATTCTAATTATATAAAGTCTTATTGTTAGTAGTAAGGCACTTGTTTCTACGTTCGCTTCTTGTTACTACTAGTAAGGCACCTGCTACTACTAGCGATGCACTTATTACTACTAGCTTCTTGTTATCCTCTAAGTTTTTGTCACTTCTTCGCCTCTCCGAGAGTCCGTGAGTAGAGCCCGTTTGTCACAGGACCTTGTCTGCGGCAATGACTGTGGTGGGATCGCATGGGACTTCGAAGTACAACAGCTCACTTTTGGTCTGACGCTCAGAGCGTGACGCGAGCGAACGACACCAGGACGGATGACTGGATGCAGTGCTTGACACATCACCCCCGTTCGGTGGGAAGAACAACACTGGGGGTCCGAATCTGTTTTGCAACGCACTTGATTGACTTTTGTCGAACCGAGCTGGGTGTCTTCGGTTCGAAGAGGCGACTCGGATGACCGGAGGTGGTGGCATCTGGGGCGCCTTCTTCGGGCTGGGGCTGGCCTTGTCCATCACGGGTGCGACCTCCAATGTGGACAGTTGGCGGATGTTCCTGGAGATCACCTGCCTGAGGCGGCATTGAACTGTTTCTTTTTTTCTTCGAAAAAACTGCGAGACCTCTCTGAGTCTTGAAACAAAACTGCAGTTCAATGATGAGGGGGTGTGAAATGTTGGTAACTAGACTCAGCAACCTTGCGGTCTCAAAGAAACGTTGGATGCGTCTCAAAGCACGACTTCTCCAAGACAAATCAGAAAGTAGATGAACGTCCGTTGGTTGGATGCGTCAGCATATTGACTCCGAATTCGGAAAACCAACTCAACGTGTTGATATCAAGCTGAGGATAAGCACCTCGAAGTTTTTCCTCGTCTTGGACTTCTCATTAGCGGCAATTACCTGCATTCATTTCTGCGTGCGAACGCTCGGAACCAAGACTTGCTAGAAAGATCAAACACGTGGCAAATTGGGTCGAGCTACAGTGATATACAGATATTCATATATTTATTTTTCTCCTTCTTGTTTCATATCTTGGTAGACCTTTGAAGACGAAGCAAGATAAGACCTGCAATTGACGGGTTTCCTCCAGCTCACGAAGAGCTGCAAGAAACTGGTGGAGGTGAGTCACAGCTCTGCAAGAGATTCATCGATTCCATCTGACTGTTGTTCCCTCGACCGAGGTACACTGAGTCCTTAACAATGGTCGGCTTTGTGCTGGAAGCTATCGCAGCTGTATATTTTTTTGGCACCTTGGAAAAGAGACCAGCAAGAAACGGAAAGGATACCAGGATGCGAGGCCATCACTAGCTGCTAGTGACTCGCATTTGTTTTTGGATTTGCGAGGCCATCAGTCAGTTACCCGCAGGTTTGAAATGCAAGAAGCAAATGGTGCTGCTCTTCCTGATTTGCATCACCTGCATCAGAGGTTTGTCCATCTATCTGCAAAGTGCCTGCACACTGCAACTGCTAACTGCTTGAGGTTTGATGTTGCCTTTCTGGGGCTTCGCGCACTGCGAAGGAATACTCTCCGGCCTGCGCTGGATGCACCTTGATGAAATTGGTGTGATACCACAGCTGGTTCCAGCTCCAATGTCTCATTCTTGATCGGAGTCCATGTTGCAGCGAAGATTCGTGCGGAATTTTTGCTGAGGTTGATTGATCGAGCTATTCCTGATGCTCTTCTGATAGGTTCCTTGGCCCTGAACCGTGCTTTCTTTTCGTAGTGAAAGACAGAAACACTCTCGGTGTGTCGTGTGTGGTGCGGAAAGCCGATTTGTCATGACGACACATAAACGACCCTCCGCCTCCGGGTCGGAAACTGGTATGCATTTTTTAACATGAGGAAGTCACCAAAACCACAAACACCATGTAAACACCCACATGCTTCATGGCAGTGGTTGTGATAAATGCACGGAGCCTGACTGTGTTCGCTACAAAACTCTGTATTCTGTGGTAGAATTGACATGTCTTTTGGCAATTCGTCGTATCGTTTCTACGGAACAGTGAAACACATAGGAACGGAGCCGCAAAGCTCGCACTCTCTTTTTAGCGTCGAGACACAGCTCTTTCGACAGCTCTTCGGCGCAACGTGCCATCAGGTTGTTGGTACCTGTGTGCATGAAGCGCCCGTAGAATCTTTTGTCGATGAACATGTTGTGAAACGGACCATCATGGTCTCTACATCGATATCCATGGCCACCAGGTCGAACTAATCAGATTTATAGCTGTCAAAATCAGCACTACACGTTCGGTTCCCGACCGTGTGGCATAACCGAGTGCAGAGAAGGCCAAGCACACAACAAACCGCTTCTAGGTTGGAGGCCATCCCTTTAACAAAATGAATCTATTTAACAAAGATCATGAGACTTGACTTTCCAGGGGCAGTCATCTGATGCCAGGTGCGGTTGCAAGCCTGCCAGTGGCGGAGCATCAGGCAACCGACACTGACCGTTGTCACACTGGTTCGTTTGTGTAGCCGTGTAGTCAAAGCCATCGTCGAGAATTGACTCATAGCTATCAATATGAATCGTCGGATACTCTCGGCGACCGGCAGAAATCAATCCTGGCAGGGCAAGAAGACCTGGTTTGCACCCTCATGGCTAGCGGTCTAGCTCTCAGAATTTGGTCAACCCAGCTCTTTGGATCCAACGACACGTCCGGGTAGGCCAGTCCACCGCTGCGTCCGATCCGACTTCGGCCTAGGCCATCCACCTGCTGCGGTCTTGGGGGAAGCTTCTCAGAGTCTACAAGATCAATCTGGAGGCCTTCGGGGTTTTCAATCTTCTGTCATTTCTTTTGAGGATTGGGATACCAGGTGTTGATATACCAGGATAAGATGTGACACCTGGATGTAGCAACAAGGATACAACCAACCGATACATGCATGCATGCATGCATGCATGCATGCATGCATGCATACATTGATGCATCGAAGCGGTGGACACAGAAGCATGAGGAAGGTTGCTAGATTCCTACTCCGCAACTTTAGCTATCGATTTTCATTTGCCGACATGAAAGCTGTTTGTCAAATCTTGGTCATTTCGATGCCGGAAGCCACCCACGCCCACGCAGATGTTTCGAAATCAGATCATCGATGCGATTGTCTCAACTGCATTCAAGGCCGTGCAGAAGAATCAATTCTTCGAACTTCCTGGAGTCAAGCAGTCTCTAAGATTTGCTTTCCTTCTGAAGCCAAGCAGTCTCTGTACAACGTCAGTGTCATTTGCGACGTTTGGGTTCGGATCCGACGTCGCGAATCGACGGGACAGGTCTATTTGATGGCCATGATGATGCTCACCTTTGAGCCTTGCTTCTTTTATGACCCCAAAACCATGACAATAACACACTACTCATCACAAAGACACCTTTTGAAAACCACTTGTTTTGGACACCATGTACCTTGGAATTTTTGGCCCAGGAGAACTTGGGTGAGCCTCCCTTCATGGCTGAATTCTCGCAGGAGTTCACCTGGCCGCTAATGGGGTTTTACGCTTCGAATGTTCGTAAGGCCTCGAGGTCTTGGGTTTTAAGAGGCACTTTAAGAATGCTACGGAATAGTGCTAGCTACTTCTCACAAAGACGCCAATACTTGCGGATGTGGAACACTGCCTTCACGACAGGAGAAGTGGAACACCATCTCCTCCTTGTATTTCATCCTCACCAGTTGCTCAGCTCTGCCGAGTTGGGCTGATCTGATTGAAGCTGAGTAAGTAGAATCGAGGAACTCCAATTATCCGCCCAAATTAATATGAATCTTCATCACCACGCAAAGACATGATTTATTTGCGATAACCAACATACTTGATACTTGATGCATGCTTTTTTTAATTATGAGTCCCCAAACCGTTTACTGTTGGGGTTCACCCCTTCTCTCTTAGGAAAATGGGGCTAGCAGCGATAGCCGCGGCCGCGCGGTCCGCCCTTTCTTCACCACCTTGTCTGGGTTTGTTTCTTTCATCTTTGCACATGACACCCGGTAATCCGGGCAGGGCTTGGCAAACACATGGTGTTTGTTTGTGTTCCCTGTTCCCAAACAGCTGGAGGCAATAGGAATATATATATATATATTAAAAATTACAGACGTTGCCACCGACATCGGGTTTCAAGGAGTTGACGCAACAAATCCAGCTGAAACTGTTTGAAGTCTATACTGACTATACTGGTATAAGTATTCAAGATATTTCAAGATGATGTCAAGGGCAAGGGAGGCCTCTCCACAGACTTCTCTTCCTGCGCGCATATTTGCGCAGAATTCCCTTCTCCACATTCCCAACAGATCTCTCTGACAACGATCTCTCAGGTGTGGCCACTGTGGGCTTTGGCGATCTAGCACCTGTCACCAGTTCGGAGCTCCCAGAAGTGGAGAGGGGATTGGGTGGGCTGATTGAGCGTTCGGGCGAACGCTGTCGGGTTTGGATGTGATGGATTGAGGCTTTGCCTTTTTCGTGAGTGAAGATGTGAGGGTTGTTTCGTCAGCTCGTTCTGTTTTGGCTTTCAAAACGTCCACTTCTTTGACTGGCAGGGTTTCAGGGTTTCCGGGTTGACACCCACAATTGCTCCTTGTTTTGGACAATCGCGGACAATCACATTCAACGCGCCTTGGACCAAATTTTTGCTAAATGCAATTTCCTTCACGATCGACGACGGCAAAAGTCATGCCCTGTATGGGAGAACACGAAAAAGAACCTTGTTTTTTGGTTGCATGCTATGCTCAAAATGCATGTCCAAACGCTTTGAAAGCATTCGTCAGACTTCGTAAGGCTTGCAGCTTTGACTGAAGACTTGGACTTTAAACCGGGATGACTGACTGTGACGACAGAGTGCTGCTCCAGGCCTTGGGCGAATGTGTACAGTCTTTGCCATTTACTTCGGCTTGGCATGGGTTGCCACGGTGGCCTATAGAAGCTTGCAGGCGCCTCACGCCATCCATGGGCATCACTAGATGCCTCACGCCTTGCAAGTTTGAACGAGACAAATGGGAAGGGATACTCAGAGCACTCAGCTACTCAGAGCACTCAGCTTCTCGTGTTTGTCCTTTTGAGTCTGTTTGGCGCGCATGCCCGTTTTGCAGATTCTGGCGGTGAACCAAACGGGTGGAGGCTTCTTTGAGCCGATTCTGCATAGCAAGTGCCTTGGCAGTATGAGGATTGATTCCCAGACACTGAAATGCATCAATGGTTTGTCAGGTGTAAGTCTTGCGAGTGTCTAGCACAAGCACAACTGGCGAACGTGGATCAGATAGGTTACGGTGAGTTCGGATGCTTCAGGTATATCGTGGTCCTTGGCAACCCCACTGGGCTGATGCTCAGGATGTCGAGTTGATCCACGAGTGATCCACGATGGTTTGCTCGTGTGGACATTTGATTCTACTTGTAAACTGGTAAACTTTCTTGTAGAAATCATCCGGAAGAATCTTTCTGTCGTTTTCAGATGGGGGTCTGATGGAGCGGTCTAGCGAGCGGTCGGCTAGTAGCGCATCCGCCTCGGCTCGGGTTCCGCTCAGCTCGGGCTCGCAGGAATTTCTTGGCAGAGATTTTTCATCCTGACCACGCGGAAGATTCTGATGATCTCCATGTGTCTGTCAACTGGTAGCGAGAGGAACACCCACACCGAAGTCCCGAACGTGACGTGTTCGTAGCGATGCCCTTGCTACTATATAGTAAGCAAGCGATTGTTTTGCATTTTCTCAAATCTGCATTGTGAGTGTATTGGAGAAGCTATTTGTGCAAAAGTAGCAATGGTGGTGTTTCATCCTTGGTTATCCCTGGCCAGTCCGAGCGACAGCAACCTAGTCAATCAACGCTCTCATGCTGGTGGCAAACCATCTTCAGCTTAATATGTCAAGGTTGCAATTCTTTTGCCACCTTCCAGTAAGGATCTCACAGGTACAAAAAGAAATCAACTTCCAGGGTCGCTTTCTCCCCGAGGTGATCCTTAGCGCTGGCCATCCTGGAGTAGAGCTGGTCACTGAATGGCTGCGACAGCACCTTGACTGAGAAGGACTGTGGAACTCATCAGCCCTGTGGACCCAAAACATTTGGCTTGGGAGAAAGATACGAATCATTCAAAGAAGTTGTGGAGATCGCTATGTGGTTGGAGGCCAGCGCTATTAGGTTGGAGGCCATTGCTAGCTATCGCTAATAGGTTGGAG